CGTACACAGATTTTTACTGAGCTGTTTATTTTTTAAATGACTGAAATAGAAAGAGCATAAACGTGTGTGTGATGTTTCCATATATTGCACGCGAGGGAAAAAGGTAGTTTGTTTTGTTGCATTAAGCGGTGCTAACGTGAAACAGTGCTTCTGTTGTCGTGTCTTTCTCACAGCACCGGGAAGGTCAGCGGGTCTACTATGCACAAGTTTCCACATTACGGGGAGAGAAACAAGTCAAGTGATACTTTTCATTGCGTTTTATTTGCACAGTGTCCTAACAAAAAAAAAAAAGTCTCAGTGAGATAAAGAGGAAAACACATTTTTTCCTTCCAGGGAGTTTGTTTTGCGACGATGAAACATGCAGATTAATATTATCTCTGTAAAGTCTCCGTAAAGATTGACAGTGGGAAGCCAGAGGATGTTCACAAAGCATTTCTGTGTAATCTGTTTTGGAAATCAGCATGTTTAAGGAAGCGTTAAGGAGAGATGTGTTTATGGGCCCTTATCAAATTCTTCTCATACCAGATTTCATACTAAACCTGCTGAAGATAAATGATAACAGAAGGATGTGAATCAGAGTCGAAAACGAAACATGCTGCCACAGATCACGGGGCATGTTTAATTGCGGGGACATTTTTATGAAGTTTGAAGTTTACCTCCGGCCCTGTTAAAGTGCGACCCCGCTGTCTTGGAGATGTCGTTGTGTTGGTCTACGTCAGATGGGAGGGCCGACAAAGTACGCCAGTGTGCTTGTTTGGGTATGAGTTGTTTTTCTGAAGAGCCTCCACCGACTGCCTCAGGAATGCACAATATTTCTGTGTGTGTGTGTGTGTGTGTGTGTGTGTGTGTGTCGGGACGTGTTGAATCTCAAGTTCAGAGGAAATAGTTGTCAAGGGGCTTCAAGGGCAAGAAAACAAAGTTGCAGTTCTTTGGAATAAGATGGTGGCAGTCATAAGCATTACTTATTATTTATCTTTTAGATCTTTTCGTAGATTCACAGCACAGCATAATAATCAATGTACATATTAGTGCGTTCTCTGTCTTAGGTAATGCACAGATAAGGTTTTATGTAAAATTCGTACTGTGCAATGCAAACATACAACGGGAGCTTCAGAAAACATAATTAATTAACATGTGATAATTACAGGACGCTCTAACGTTGAGTTTCCATGACATGTCTTTATGCACAGGTTGAAATATCACATTAGAACACGTTAATGAAAATTGGCAAAATTCAAAAGACGTTTTAAACCTTGCCTAAAGTTGTTTTTAACTTTTTTGAAAAGAAGAAATGGAGACACCTTTTTTCTAATAAGTTCTAACATGGCAAATATTTAACTGTTTAAATGAAGCATTTTAGTTTGTATTATTCTACATTTTGACAGCAACATTTTCATTGTTTCTGCTTTATAAATATCGGTTTGCCGTGTCCTTGATTTTCTAATAATCAATAATGATCAGTAAAAACTACAACATTTGATTTTGCAGGTATTTTGTTTTAAAATAAAAAAATGTGACAAATTTAATTTTGGACTATGAATGAATGTCTTTATCGAACTCTTTTGCAATCTGTTCAGTAGTTATGGAGAAATTAATCCTGATTGACTGCTGCTGAATAATTGCTTACTTAAAAACAGTTTGAACTTGAATTAAATGATCTTAGGTTTAATCTGTTTTAAATTCTGTGAGAGCATACAAAGCTAAAGAGGAGGGCACACTGTTTTAAAAAAAAACCCTTTTGACCCTTGTTGCGAAAGAACTGTTTTGTTTTTCTGGTCTGATCTATAAATGTAAGCACTTTACATTTGATGAATCTCTGTTCTGTTTGTGCTGAATGCCACTGTGCAGATACTGATCACTATGCTAATCTGAGACTTTGTAGTGTAACACTGAGCTGCATTTAGATCCTTTTTCACTCTCTAATCCAATATATTAAGGCTCTCATTCCAGTCCAGCTGTTGGAACGTAAGACAGGAAATCTAAGTGTGTCATCACCTAAAAACGCTGTTATTACCTAATATTTAAACATTAGTTTGTCTTTTTTTTTATTCTCGAGATAGTGATGAATGATGAACACACAATGCCAGTTAGAGTAGAGTGAAAAGCGTTAATCCTCCGGCCCCTTAAAGAGCAGAGCGAGGACTTACTGGGATTAAAAAGTGAGCATGTTAAGTTGTGCCCTCAGTTCTCCTTATTGGCCTGAGGAGACGTCAGTGGATTTACGCTGAATCTTACAGTAGATTGCTGTAAATAGAAGGCAAGAGGCAAAGAGGAAAAACACCTCGGGTAGACAAGAGGTGATGAAGTGGGAGTTCTATTTATAGCAGCGTAATCAGAATCAGTCAAAGGATTGTGTCACTGCTTTGGGAATTTCTGCAAACAGGATCACGGTTGACATAGATACATGTCTTATTTTCTGTTTTTATACCAAACATGCTGTTATGGTGCTCCCTATAGGCATTGTGTGTGTGTGTGCCAACATAGGTTCAGTAGTGATTTCCTCTTTACAGACATCTCTAAACGCTGTATTTTAAAGTTTTAGAATAATTTGGATTTTGCTAAAACAGCTGGCCACACAAACAAAATATCTAGTTTTTAGGTTCTTTGGATTTTCAGGACACCAGCTGAATGTTTGCCAGCACATTCGCCTTGGAAATACAGTGTGGGAGGTCATGATAGGTTTATTTTCAAGCATCTAGGGAACAGTTTCAATGGGAGGGATTTATATGCACATATACATGTAGCCAGACCGGCTACCGAACATTGAACAATGAAGCTCAGATTAGAACACTTACAGAGGAGGTGTTCCTTCATTCTTCATTAAGGACATTATCAATCCACTGTATATCTCTACATTGCAGATAGTCATTTGCTGCTATATTATTACATAGTTATGTTTAAGATATTGCTATTACAGTCATCCTCAAATTTATTCATACCTTCCCATTAAAGAAGGAAAAAAACAGCAATCACTGAAATAAATTGAAATTGACAAAAATAATAATAAATACAATGTAGTGAAAATCATGACATTACTTTTGAATTGTGGTTCAATAGAAATATAAAAAAAGAAACAAACAAAAAAAAGAAACAAGCATGATATGACCCATAAACCAATACAGTAATCTCATCAGATGTCATGTTGTTTTATTAGGCAGGTTATCATCATGAACACACCCAGTACAACAAACACAGCTGTTTAGAAGTAACTTATATGCAGAGAAGTAAGCTTAAACCGATCTCTTTGAAGTAAATATTTCTCTAGTGCTAAGCTGAGTAAGTCTGTGGAGAAAATGTTTACCATGAAGACAAGATTACAGGATATGAATGGATCATGTTTACATTCCTCATACAGTCATATATAATCATATGCTTTACCAGGCATCCAAGTTTGTAGTGAACCAGTTTAAAAAAAAAATAAAAAAAAAACAGCCACAAAGCATCAACCTTACAACACAAACCCCTCTTGACACGCTTCACACTAAAATCTGAATATTCAAATTGTGTAAATCGACAGCATAAAAGCATCGTAGCATTTGTGCCAAACAACAACCAAAGAGGAACTTAAGCCTTGACAGCTATGCAAATGTGGCACATAAATGGAAGGCAGCGGCAAAAGAGCAGAGACCAGCAGCCAGCAGATACGAAGACATCGCCCAGAAGCAGACGTCCTCAGCCTCCACAGTGTTATAGATTACTGACATCACGAGCACCGAGAACAGAGTCGAGACATTTCCTGATAAGCATGCAAGTACAGGCACCTTGTTTGGAAGAGCGGTGAGCTCTAGCATCCAACGTCATGGCCAAGAAATCTCTTCCTCTCGCTTCTAGCGCACGTTTGAACCCAACAGCTGATAAGATAAGTGAGTGAAAAACAAAGTTGCGGAACACCGGGAGCCAGAGCAGCATGAATGTTCCTCAGCGAATCAACATGAGTGGATCGTTACAAGATGCTGCTAAAGCAAACTTGCAGTGCAGCAGGAGCATCACAGAACTTGATACACAGCATGGTGCAGTGTGAATATATGAAGTCATTGAGGGTACATTTTAAACATGATGTAAAGAGTGTATCACAGTTGAGTGCAGCAGCACCGCATGATATCTGCAGTGCTGCCCCACCTGTGTCATTTCACAGACAAATACTTCCCTGTGAACAAACTGACATTAAAGTTTCACTCTTGGAAAATCATTCATCAAGTGCATCATTTGCATCTCTAAATGGTTCCTCAGTAAGTTTTGCATGAGGAAAATCTGATCAATGTACATCTTTTAAAAAAAAACAGAAATTTATTTATCTTGCTACCCGTCTTAGACATTCAGTGTGTACTTTGGAGCATAACCAATATTGCTAATTACACAGCCTCCAGCCTTCCCTGAAAACTGATCCAGCTTCATGTGGAGGGAAGAGAGAGCAGACACTCACCACAAAGAGCTGTCACACTGCCAGGAGCCTTTTTTTTTTTTTTATTCCCGTATTCCCTCCCACCCATTTTTTTTTTTTTTGCCTTTGATGAAAAGACATGCCAGTGATATTTCAGGGGCTTAGTGGAGACAGACAGCGCTGGTTTTATGTTCCCGTTGCTTTTGTCTGAACTACGGGAGGCCGAAGTCACAGGTGCGAACGCGCCGTCACAGACACCAGGCCCCCCGACACTTTTGGCTGCCGAGTCACGCCCGACTCAATCAGGCATCTCTGCAGACACCGCAGGATCACCCGAGGAAACAATGGTACCTCAATTTGCAGCCAAGAAAGTGCGCCAGGTTCAGCGGTTTAAAAGGAGAAGGAAAAGAAAAGCTTTTTATTTCACACTGACAGCACTTGAAAAAGATATATTGTTGGTGATTTGTCGGGTATTAAAGTTGCCTGTTTATTTCTCACTTCAAGTGTGAGAAAATTAGACGACCCCTGAGATGTGCCGCAAAGACTTTGTTAACATTATTATCTGTTTTGGTGCAGCTGTGCTTCTCATGCCCCGCTTTCCTTCTTTCTCACTTGTCAGGAGTACTGAAGGACTATCTGCGTGAGCTGCCCTACCCGCTGATCAACAAGCAGCTGTACGAGGCGGTGTTGGAGTCCATGGCCATGAGGCCTCTGCGGATGGGAGCAGCAGGTTGCGAGAACGATCAGAGCGACTCGGAGCACACAGTCGGCCTGCTGGAAAACCTGCCGGAGGTGGAGAGGGTGAGGAAACACACCGCACGTCCTCTGCTGGCTCTCACAGTCATTATGGAGATAGGATATGGTCACAGACGGGGCAGTGAAAGGGCTGATTGTGGTATGGATAATGATGGTCATGATGATAATGCCACAGATTGCAACTGTTTAACTGCTGTTACGCAAGTTTTGACACTGAGTAATAATTGAGGTGTATCACAGCGGTGTCCTTTTCTAAACATTTTGTGGCCTTCAGTGGAGTATTTTCAGATTAATCATAATTGGAAAAAAATGAAAATGCAAATCCTACAAAATAATAGTAAGAATATATTTTAAGGGTAACAGTTATATTATAGGAATATTACAAAATTAACTGGTGATCAATAAGTTCTGAGACTGTGCTTATAAAAATAGAAAACTTTACTTGATTTAAAGTTGTTAGCCATTCCTGTTGAAGTAGTGTGCAGTGACACTCGGCTCCCACTGCTCCTGCAACACCTGTAGCACTCACTGGAAACATTGTTTGCAATTAGCACTGAATCTCCTAAACTGTGTTAACATGGCCTCACTTGAATTTCATTTTGCGGAAGAGGAAAAACTTACTGTGAGCAAAATCTAGTGATTAGGGCGGCTAGGGAGCGACAATTGTGTTGCTGTGGCCAAGAAAAACAAACGTGTATAATCAGTGACCGAGCTCATAGTGCATTGGAGCACCCACTTGTCATCGTGCCACAATTCAGGTCACCGAAGGTTCTCCTTGGAACTCTGCCTTGACAGTCCGACTCTGGGGTGTAATTCCTGGTGCACAACCATATTAAAGTTGAAGGAAACAGCCATCATGCTCCTGGTGCTCTCTGGACTTGGCATACCATGTCCATTTTTGGAAACTGCTGTTGCTTCTCTTGCTGGTAGCTGCAGCCCCACCTTTGGTTACCAGTGATGACTCTCAATATGAAGTTAGAATCATCAGCTGCTGACTAACACAGAATGCTGTTTGCACCAGTTTGTGGTCAATGTACACCTACCATTTGTCACAAAAACTCATGTAATACAGAAGCTCAGCTATTGATAGCGTGGTGTCACACAATCTCCTGACTCGTGACAGATATGAGTAGCAAGGGTTGTATGTGCATGACCGTGACTCAATCCATTATTCAAGAATTATGACCAAGACTTACATTGAGACAGTACTCAGTATTACATAAAAATAGCATAATGTTGTTTTGTGCTGCAATTTCTCTGTATGTATTGCCCGACATACAGCATCCGCTACATAATACTGTCCAATACACTACATATGCAATACCACTTTCAGGGCTTTTATTTAGTTCTAGAAAAAAGCCACGTAACATAGACTGGAGAGTCCACATGACGCCAAATAAGTCATTCACTTAATATTATTCATGTAAAAGGTTACATTCAGCATGATACTGCGGCGAATATTTCTGTCACAGCTGTTGAAATAGTGGCCACTGCGGCGAGATATTAATATAGCAGTAAATGAAAAGCTTCTCTTGTGTCATTTTTCTTCATTTCCTTTATGAATACGGCTTTTCAGCACTACAGATGCTTGTCAAAGTAGATTTTGCTGTGTAGCTGCTGCCAGTGGTACTACTGCAACTACTAATCATAATAATAACATGTCTTATTTGTCTGTGTCTGTGCTTTCGTGTGTGTGTGTGTGTGTGTGCGTACATCAGATGACACTGCGGATCCTTCTTGACCACCTGAAGCTGGTGGCGTCCTACCAGGAAGTGAACAAGATGACGTGTCAGAACCTGGCGGTGTGTTTCGGCCCGGTGCTGCTCAGCCAGCGTCAGGAGGCGTCCTGCCACACCAACCGAGTCTTCATCGACTCCGAGGAGCTGGCGAGCGCGCTGCACTTCAAAAAACACATTGAAGTCCTGCACTACCTGCTGCAGCTCTGGCCAGGTGATTACACTTCATTTTACTCTCCTAAAATAGGCTCTAGGATGTTTCACAGCCTTTGAAGGACAGTCGGGTTATATACCTCCTCTGTATATTCCAGTGTTTTGGCAGAGGGTCTTGTACAAATTAGTGCCAGTTCTGTGGTTCGGTTCTACAAAGGACTGTTTAAGGGCTGGACTGCTTTGATCCTTGAGGTTATCCGCTACTGGCACAAGTACAGCTGATAGCCGCTGGATACCATCTGCTGGCTCCTCAAAGATGAAACTCTCCACAAGTGCTTCATCATGGTGGGCTGAGCCAATCAGAGCCAAGCCACTAAGCTCCAATGTAAACCCAACATTCAAGGCGTGGCCCCTCTGTCTTAAGATAAATCACTAACCACAGACAGATACCCAGTACCAGCTTCACTCAGTGCAGGTCATCTGTCTGCCTGCACAGCTGTCCTCCGCCGGCTGCAGCTGTCTGCTCGGTGTGAGATATGAAGAAGCCCAAAGATTATGCAGGAGGGAGTCAAGAGTGATGAAAAGAACCTCAGGCCGTGTAAAATTTGTGTTGGTCACAGCAGCTAATTTGATATGTTTTTAACTTGCGGGCTCAATTTTATGAATTCGCGTTGTGATCAGTGTGTGAGCCATTCAGAGGCTTCACAGCAGTTAAAGTCTCCAAAACTATAGAACATTTAGCACAAAAGTTCGTCCACACACTGTTAGAAAAGATAGAACCTTTTACAAGTCGATCACTGTCTGTTTTTGCGTTGGTTGCTACCAGTTTTATAAACACAAATTGTTATGACACAGTGTGAAATTAAATATGCACTTCCATCAGTCTGATTGCAGTAACATTGTTCAGTTTGTCTTTTGGTTTCAGTGTGTCTCCAGGCACACATTTTTCAAAACGCACACGCATGCTGCGTTTTTGAAAAATTTTCTTCCTAACATCACGTTGGACAGACTTGATCCTTCTGATCCTCGGAGCTCTTCCCTGTAACCTGCAGGTTTAACCAGATCTGCTGATTGATGTCTGAACAGGAACTGACTGTGTGTCTGGTCCAGACTCTAAATTTAACTGCATCCTCTGACTCCCACACTGAACCAATTCTGTGTAAACCACTGGAGCTGAGCACCCTCCACCCTCCTTTACATCAGCTGTAGACGGAAAGTTAAACCAAGTGCAGCTACAAGTCAGCATCTGTGAATCCTATAATTGCAGGTAGCTGAGGACGAAGACATTTCTGAAATGAAAGAAGAGAGTGTTTCTTTCTTTTAAAGGAAAGCACTTATGAGTAACTGAAGAAGAATTAAGCAAGATCTTTGTAGTTTTTTGTTTTTTTTTTACTGTAGAAGTGATTCTGCTCTCCTGTCTGCAGCTGATGTCACCTGGCTGCTCGCTCTAATGACCTGTAATGACAGCGACGGAGCATTTTTCAGTCCAGGTTCGAGCCTTTGTTTACACCCTCGGTAGCATCTCCATTCTGTCCTCTGCCCCTGCACAGTGTAGGATTCCTGGACTATAATTAAAGACATTCCAGGCTTAACCTTACCCCTCGGCCCCTGAAGCTTCACCCTAACATTTCGCAATCATTATGGGATATTTTCAGCCGCCTCTTCACGCCTCTCACACACACATACCAAACCCAGCGAGGCATTGTTGCTCGGGCCCCGACTGCGCATGTCTTTGGGCGAGCGCAAGGACATCTGATGACTGCTGGCAGAAAAACACTGACACTATTTACAGGAAGTGCGAGAGAGCACGAGCGTATGTGTTGAAGGGGCTGGAGGGGCTGCTGTGTGCTGAGTGCGTGTTAAGACGTTTGCCAGTGTGACAAGATGTGAGCAGATGGTTGGAAAGACGGGAAGAGACAGTGTGTGTGTGTGTGTGTGTGCATTTGTTTGTATTCAGCTCTTGTTGCTGTGCTGGTGTGGAGCGATTTTAAACCAGCAGCATTGTGCTCAAAACCCTCTGCAGTCAAGGTTCATGTTTTTCTGTGCATTCATTTTTGACTTTGTTCAGCATCTTTAAAACTCACATGCACAGTTTCATTTAGAATAGAATCTCTGCTGTTGGTGTCAAGTCTCATTTTGCCAATTTAACAAAGAGCGTACCTAGTATAGACGTCAAAATACAAGACAAATAGTTGACAGTCGTTTTGTAAATGAAGAGTTCATTTGTTAAAACAGATAACTGCAATTCAGTAGATTTTCAGAAAACTTATTTTGTTATTGTTTGCTTGAGATAATGTCAATCAAACTGAAGTTGAGTGGATTTGACTCAGTAGAAATGACATGACGAAAATAGAGATAACTTAAGTTTGAGTGATATTGTCTCCGGTAGACGATGGAAAAGTGGGTTTTCTGGAGGTTTGTGAAGATGGAGTTATCTGTTTTTGTAAATGAACTCTTCAAATATTAAAAAAAAAAAGAAACTTATTGCAGAACATTCCAGAGTTGAAGAAAAAGTATTATTTCAATTTTTATGAACAAAAACACTATAGAACAATAAAAGAAATAAAACTATAATCGTTTAGCTAAAATTACACTGTGAACAAATCAAAGTTTTAAACGTTTCCCAAAACAACATGATCTACAGAAAGTAATTGAGTATTATGGTTAGTCTGTACATTGTATATAAATCATAATGATAAAAAATAATAACCCAGCAGGCAAAATCATAAACATAAACATAAACAACATTCCCTTGTGTCGCACAAGTTGCAGCATTCTCTGTCTGCTTCCTGTCTTCATTTTCTCTGCAGACAGCTAATAACGTTCATCATGTCATCAGTGAATCATGTCTGAAATTAAATAACACGGTGTCTCTAAAAGGAGGATCACTTCTGTTTGTTTTAAGTGATAATTGCTCGAGTGTTTAGCCTCCGGAGGGCTGCAAAGTGTGCAACCGCTGAATACTGCATCAGCAAAGGCCTCTTTGATGAATGAACTGGAGTCGACAGCGATCATGAGGAAGAATGCACGTTGGGGAAAAAAAACATCTCATGATCATCCTTTAGGATATAAGAGTGTTCTTTTATGTTGTACCTCCTCAACATGACATGTAGACCTAACTGTGTCTTTGTTCCTTTCTAATCCAGTAAGGGAGAGCTAGCGGTGTCAACAAGCGTAGGTACACAGAGAAACAGGCAGACAGGTAACCGGACTGCGCTGGTTGTGGTGGAGTGCTCACTGTTCCTCTTCATAGTGCAGTCAGACGATTGTTTTATTAAGTCCAAACACAGCTTCACTTTGGTTAATTTTTAAGTTTGGTTTAGTCAGCAGTACAGAAGGATGGCAACAAAATCACAGTGTGTTTTGGTGTGACCTCAGCATGTGACTGGCATGTGTGTTTGCTTCACGCTGACTTCTTTAGGTTTCTATGTTGTCCCGATAGAAGGTCATTCAGACAAACTGAGGCCCTTTTGAATCGGTTGTGAATAGGCTTCTTTTAAAGGCATGTTAAAGCATGTTTGTTCATGAAGTTACAAAAAAAAAAAAACATATTTTCTCACTCACCCCAAGAGGTATGTAGCGCTGCACATAGTTTTCAGTGCCAAGAGTTTGAGGTATTTGCCCTTAGAACGTATACAATAGAGGTGGATAGAGTTTTGTTTATGGCACTCACAGCAATGTGGCTTTCCATAAACAATGTTCTGGTTACTCATGATAATTCATAAACCTGCTTTAACTACTTTCTACTGAAGTAATAATCCCTAGGAAAACAATGGACTGAGTGTTCCGCGCGGTGTTCAAAGTAACCAGGAGCGTGTTGCTGGAAAGAGATGCTGTCAGCTCCACAAAATGAATTCCTTTTTTATTTCTCTTTTATTGTATCAGGCTGAAGGCAAGCAACACAAACAATGTCGGTATGTAAAGCAGCTGACAGGCCCATGGCCCCTGTAGGCTTTTGCTTTGCGTCAGTTTTTCTAGTCTGACTATGATTGTCCATCCATCCATCCATTATCTATACACCACTTAATCCTGTCCTCACCGGGACGTGAACCGGCGACCTTCTTGCTGCGAGGCAACAGTGCTAACCACAACCCAATAACAACAATTATATCATTTTGTAGGCCTTTGTCAAAATGTAGCTCTCAACCTGACTTTATTTTATATTGTGCTGACATAATACTGAATAAAGTTGTGTTTAATTAAATGACCACAGGCTAACTGTTGCACAAGCAAGTATGGCTACGTCTGCACTGCACTCCATGGAAACGTGGACAGAACAGCGGCCCAACCTTAATCCAGCTATAGATGTCAGCAAAGTTAAATGAGAAAATATGAGTTTTTTGTAATTTTGGTGAACAGATTCCTTTGAGATTTTAGACTTTGCATCATGTTAACTCTGTTTTTCTCTTGTCTCTCCTCCTCTAGTCGTGGACCCACATGGCCAGTCCTCTTCCCAGCCCTCTGCAGCCTCTCTGGTTCCGACCTCATCCGACCTCCTGTCAGCTCCCCCTCTACGGCGGAGAAAAGAGCGCCCTCAGGTGCTGAACCTCACTGATGCAGAGATGGCGGGTGTTCTGCGGCCCAAACCGGGCCGTCTGGACAGCCCCAGCAACCGCTACGCCGGCGACTGGAGCGACTGTGGCGAGAGCTACTTCCCCTCGGAGATGCTGCTGCCTCCTAGCAAAGAAGAGGCGGACTACGATGACGTGCCCTCGGAGGACACAGAGGCAGCTGAGGAGGTCCAGGAGAAGCAGGAGGACGCAGAGGAAGAGCAGAAGGTCACCGGTCCTGCGTCTGATCCCGCTGAGCAGGAACAATCTCAGAGAGAGGAGGTGGTGAAGGAGGAGGAGAAGGTAGAAGAAGAGGAGGAGGAGGAGAAGCAAGGAGAGAGTGACAGTTCAACCAATGGGCAGCCATTAGAGGAAGAGGAAGAGGAGGAGGAAGAAGAGGAGGAGGAGGAAGAGAGGGTGTGTGACCACATCCTACCTCCCCGGCTGCCCAAAGAGCACACCTACCAGGCGTACATGAAGATCCAGGACATCAGCCCCGTGCTGAGCAACAGGGTGAACCTGAGAGACCTGCAGGAGAGCATCGACACTCTGATAGGAAACCTGGAGAGGGAGCTCAACAAGAACAAGCTCAATGTCGGATACTGACTCCCACCGCGGTCGCACGCACACATCCACTCGCACACTCATGAGGCCTGATGAGGTTTGGGGCAGACCTTCTTTACCGATCAAGGTGCTTCAGGATACAGCCACAGCGTTTCCATGGAGATCCTGTGACGTCACCATGGCAGTGAAAGGCGGTGCTGCTGTACAAACCTAAAGGATGAGATGAGAAGAAATGTAACAGGGCACTTCTGGCATTTGTACCTTACCCACAGACATTCCGTAATGTTTTAATTTTCCTTTTATTTTGTCAGCTGTCTTACTTTATGTTGTTGTTGTTGTCGGTTTGTTTTGGTCCAGTTCTGTGTTCCATGTTGTTATTGTTGCTTCTCTTCTTATTAGAAGAACCCATTGACCCCTCAGGGGTTTAAAAGGTGCCTTAATTGTGTGAAGGTGGTACGTCAAGAAGAAAATCCACCCTGAAATAAAATGCATCACCTTCTACGAGCTTGGCATTGTGCTACAACCAACTAAATAACATGCATGATGTTATTAAGAGTCGCTTCCACAGAGAGCAAGAGTAGAGTCTCAGCAGGTACGAATCCACTCTGGATACTATGAGGCTCTAGGAAGTGGTGAAACAAAGTTTTTAAGTGACCGTTGTCCTACTAAAACCTCTCAGTGCTCTCAGAGTTTCCCAAGAAGCATTTTCTTGGAAGGCTTCTTAAGCAGCATTTAGACATGGGACACTTCCACACCTCCAGAAAATCTGGGACTCATTTGGGCTTTTCAAATAAAAAACTCTTCCAACAAAAATAATTAATTAGGTAATTAAATTAATCAAAAAGGCGCAAAGAAAACACAACCATCCTGCCATTTTTGTCCAAAAGATGAATCTCTAATGCTGAACAGGAAAACGTGGAATTCCAGAGCTGCTATTTTCTACAGTTTGGTTTTTAAGCACGTAAACAAAGTAAAGTAAAACAAACCAAGATCGTAGGAGGAAAACGTGTACATTCTGTCTCAGGGTGGATTTCCTTTTAAAGGCAGCAGAGAGCTTTTCTATTGAGGTATAAAACACTAAATGTTGTACAACAATAATGCACTTAATAGGCAGGCAGTAGTGTAGATGGTCATTATAGTTCATGCAGTAAAAGTTACTCCAGCTGTGGTCTGAATTAAAGGAGAGACAGCCACCACTGAAACCTCCTCTTAAAGATGAATACGAAAAAAACATGAAGAGCAAAGTTTTTCAGGGGCACGATGTACAGAAAAACACTCCCACCAGCTGTGTCCCATTTCAGGAGCTGCATCCTTCAAAGTATATGGCCTCCAAAGATTTCACCTTTAAAGTATGAGAACGTGGAACTAAACGTTTTTAAATGTCTGACCTACAGAGGACCTTCTTGTTTGGAGGATACATGCGCACCAGGTTGTGTCTACATATTTCAATCCACACTGTTCCACTTGTAGAAGAGATGCTGAAATTGACATCATGTGGACTAGTGTGTCCTTGTGTACCGGAGAGGTCAATCTTACCCTTATGTCTCGGGGTGTTCCTCCTGTTGCCTCGCAGCCTTGATGGCTGACAGTTGGGACGAAAGCCAAGACTTTATTCGCCTCATTAGCCGAAAATTTTGATGACCCAATAACTACATTTAAAAGTGTAAAGCCGCCAAAATCCCACTTGCACAGTCCACCGTTACATGAACATTGTGAATGTTGGGATACATTGGGCCATTAGGTATCTACTCGTCAAATCTTTTGCGGTCCTGTAAAAGAAGGCGTTGGAAGGAGCATTTGAAATGGGACTGCCTTCGCTGTCAGTCCTCAAATGCATCCTCAGAAGGATGCAGAGCCTGGATTGGGACACAGAACTTTTCAGAGATGGGTACGAGTCATTTCACAGAAAACGCACAGCTAAAATGCATTCAGTTTTTTTAAACAGGCAACTATATAAAGAGAGAAAATGTGTTTCATGTGGCATCATAATTTTGTGAAAGTCACTATTTGCTTTCTTGCCTAGAGTTAGATGAGAAAATTGACACCAGCCTTGTGTCTGCAGCAGAAATAAAAGCGAGAGTCAGAAGGTGTTCAGCTTGGCTTATTTTCATTTAGCTTAGCTTAGCTTAGTGCAAAGACCTGAATCGGGGGAAACAGCTAGCCTTGCTTTGTCCAAAGTAAAAAAAAAAAAAAATCCCCATTATAAGTTACTAGCACCTCTAAACATCAATAATTAACATAATGTATTTTGTTTGTGTAATTTGTACAGAAACAGGAATGTAAAAACGTAAACTTTCACTGTACGAGCTGTTGATGCTCTGCTACGATAAGCTAATGTGACTGTGGCATCAATGTTCTCGTGTGACCTCTCCGCAAGATAGCAAACTAAACTTGTTTTTTTTTATTCTATAAATTCAACAAAACCTTTCTGCTTCTCCCAGCTTTTGTCAAAACAGTGAATCAGACAATGTGAAGCACAATTTTCAGAGCAGCAGTGGAAAACTTAGTGGAGGCCTCACAGTTAGTACGACTTAGCTAGCTGCCTAAAGCGACAAAGGACGTTTTCAGCAATCCAGGGATTCAGAATGATCAGTATTTAACCTATATGTATATGTATATAATTATATAAATGTATTCGGAGTATATTATTTTTACAGCTTATATTTCAATGCCGTATTTAAATACTTCCGATGACCTTGTAGTGTTGACTTGTAGCAATAGTGGCTTTTCTCCCTTCAAGCTACCTGTACACATCTTAATGTGCTGGACTAATGGTACAACTTTAGCTGTAAAATATATGATAAAATCGTGCTCTTGCAGAAAAAGTGATATTGTTATTTTTGTGACATTGTGTATATATTTGACATTGTTTTGTGTCTCTGGTGGACTAAGCTGTGTTCATGATTTTTGGTGTTGTTTTTTGTTTGTTTGTTCTGTTTTTTAAGGTACTGAACGTTGCATGGTCAAAAGCTTTACTGACATTAACAAGGCTCTGTCTCATCTGCCTTTGTATTTCATATTTATGTATAAAATAAGACTTATTTTGTAATGTATGCTCATTCGTTCGACCCCCCTTTTCCTTCGATAGACAGATGACTGCATTGTTCAAGGTTTTCTCCAAAGGACTCAGAGGCAGATGGTGTGTACAATGTCTTGTGCAGGTGGCGTCTTTAAATTGCTTGATTTGTCCAAGTGACGGTCCATAAGTCAGATTTTGTTTATTGTCGAAATTTCTGCAAATCTTCTCATTGATTCAGCTGTAAAATAGTCCCCATAAACCTAGAACATGGTTATAAATTTGTTTCAGCTTTCAAAACTGGCATCCTAAATGAGCATGTATAGTCCAACAGTAAACCGGACAATTTAGCTGATTGTAATATTTGCAAAATAGCTTTAAATTAAATATTATACTAGAGTATTCCTTTTCCTGTAAAAAAAGCAAGAGGCACTGAATGAAAATACAAAATAAAAAGGAAGAAGAATGACCTGCTAAGATGGTTTCCTTCATATATTTTTCATGTTATTTCTCACGGTTGCTCCGCTCGCCGCCCTCCTACGTGGACTTGATGCACGACCCTGCTGCTTCGCGGTGAAGCTGCAGCTGCTGCTGGGCCGATCTGCTGTAAGTGAGTTTCAGCAGGGCTCCTTTCGAACCATCTGTCTGCCCAGGCAACATAAAAAGAACCAGGTCCTCATTTATGAAAGCTATCAGCTATAGATAATTTTTATTACCTGAAGATTGCCCGTTAAATCCGAGGTGTATTCCTGCCTACAATTTGCCTTCGAGGTGTTTCGAGAGACGCTCAAACATCACCCTAAATACAGAGTGTGTTTATGTGTTCTTTGACTCTTTACATTTGAGCTTTTTACACATACTTCTAAACAAAAATGTAAACACTAATAATATACATCTGTATTCAGCGGCTGCATCCTGCAGGGACTGAGCCACATTAAATATAACTCCTGACTGGTTTCTTCCCTGTTTAATCATCTTTTCATTTCCCCTCCTCTCTGTCACAGAATGCATCAGCAAACATCTTTTCAATATTAGATAATATGAGTTATTTCTGTCTTGTCCTCTTTGTCCTTTGGGGGAAAAAGTGCCACATCGAAAGCATTGCTAAACAAAACAGAGAAGTGCTTTGTATTGATCCTGAGAAATGTATGGTCATAATAAAGTATATTATTTTACATTCACACGTGACCGCTGTCTTCTTGTCCTATCAAGCATCTCAGACGAATTCAAGCCTTCGATTTGATCCTTCATCCAAATGAGTTATATTTTAACTAGCTTGAGCTAAAAGCTTCAGTCCTTCCAAAGAGATTTTTACAAATTTGACGGAGCAGTTCTCCAGACAAAGAATAAACAATTCTGTGCTACAAAAAACACCAAAATCTGTGGGTTTGCACTCTTAGAATAGTACATTTTTAGTCCTCAGCATCTTCTCCCTCCTACACACAACACAAGCCTGGTATTCATTCATAAAAAAAAAACTTTGTTCCGTCAGTTTCTCTTATGCAAACACATGTGGTATTCAGCATGCGGCTCAGCAATCACATCACTGTTGTTAAAATGAGTCGACGCTGGAGCCACAATTTCCCAAACTGTGCTAAGGACGGTCTTTGTCTTCTAGAAAAGCGAAGGGAAAAGATGACCTTAGCGTCAGGAAACTGGACTCTGTGTTTCTTTTTGTAGATTCACCTCATTGCTGTGGGAGCATTGTAACCCAGCCGCAGCAGAGTACAGATAAATAAGTCGGGGAATTGCCCTTGTTGGCTTGTGGGAATCTCCCAGAATGACTTTCAGCTTCAGGGACATTCCCAGGACGCAGCTGCATTTAGCTGTCCAGTAAAATCCACTGCTGGAAGGCTGCACTTTCACTGCGGCTCCACAAACCAACATTACCAGCGAGATTGGGGAGATATGTGCTATTAAGCTAAACTTAGAACAATGTGTACCTACAGGCAGACTTAAAAGTGGCTGGCTTAAATAGTTGAATGTCACTTTATTGTGAGATATTTTCACAAAATGAGCTATAAATTCAAACAGCAGTGGGATAACTGCGCCCGGGCGGCTCCAGCTGAGGTGATACACATCTCTGGCAGTTAGCATGAGAAGTCAGAGCAGCCGGAGGCCTTTCAGCACTAAATGGTTTTCAGCCTTGTTTGATGTCACTACACTGGGTTCATATCATGTTTTTTTATGGCTGAACTGAGCAGGTATGAGGGAGCTTTAGGGTACAGAATGTACACATACCTACCGGCACTGTTTGTATCCCCACATCTACTTAAATAACCGGAATTTATGTGAAGATGGAGCCAAATATTTCACTGACAGTTTAAAAATGTAACAATTTCTTTGCTCTGGGAATAATGTTCCCGTCAGTCTCAAAGTTATTTTCGGGTCCTTTACAAAGCCTCAAGGGGAACCGATCCACTAAATCTGTCATATTGGTTTCTAACTTTTAGAATTCCATCTTTAAACATCTGGAAAAGGGTTTTATATTTAGATTCAGGTGCTGGCTCCAAACGTAACGGGGGCCTATTTTAAAACTTCTTTGTCCGCGTTTGACTTGTAAAGCTGTTCTCTGGGTCCCAATAAAAGCAAGAGTGAAATCCCATATGAAGACAGAGGTAGACATAATAACAAGGGGCCTGTTTTGATAGTCAGGGTCGCCACTTGATATCAGGCAGTCTGTCGGAGTGAACTGAACTGAACTTTTGTTCATTTCTAATTCGGGAGAGAGAAGAGATATGGGTCTCGCTAGGTAAACATCCTTGACAGCCACCTGCATGTGAAACCAGACCTTTTCTCCTCTTCTTCTCCTCCTCATCTGTTCCCTTAATCTCTATTGACCTTTGAGTCAGTATCGTGGCTGCAAGTCAATCAGCCAACCGCATAACACACAGTCTTTGTTCCAGACTTTCTGTTTTTCGGTACTGTGCGGTGTTAACTGTGGCAATAAAGGCATAAAAGTTTAGGAAGATTGGATCTTTGGAGATGAGGCGTCATAACAGACATTCTGAGTCATCCACGTGGCCTTAAAGTAAAGCTGTTTGTGAGCCAAAGGATAAAACGTCAGAAACCTTAAAACATTCCTACCCTGTGACGCTTTGTGTACAGAGTGTACCAAGGCCTGGCATCAGCTGTGTGTAAAAAACGACTGACTGTGAAAAAGGAAAAAAAAAAAAAGGATCTATTTATTTAACAAAAGTTAACAAAGTTGAAAATATGTCTGGATGGGTCAGTAGGTCTGTAAACGTATACATCTGTTGCAGCCATCCAGATGTGTTAGTAGACCTTCTGACCACATCTAATTAGTTGATGAATGAATTGGAAACAGCCTCTACCTTTGACTTTCCTCCTTCTACTTTGGTCTTTGCAGGCTGTTGAAAGATTTTTTAAGTCTCTAGAGGTAGCCGGTCTGTAAACTGTAGTGGATTATTCCTGGTGTGTCCCTGCCTCACCAGACTATTTGCAACAACTATGAGTAAGACATGAGATGATAGTGATTAGGAACAAGATTAGAAGAAATAAACAATTACGGTTTTACATCCATCCATCCATTATCTATACACTGCAACTCGGATCGTGGGGGGCTGGAGTCTATCCCAGCTGACTCAGGGTGAAGGCAGGGGACACCCTGGACAGGTCGCCAGTCTATCACAGGGCTACACTTAGAGACAGACAACCAAGCACACTCACAGTCACACCTACGGACAATTTAGAATCACCGATTAACCTCAACATGTTTGTGGGAAGAAGCCGAAGAACCCGGAGAGAACCCACAGTGCACGGGGATACATGGAAACTCCATGCAGAAAGATACCAGGCGCCCTAACCGGGACACAAACTGGGGATCCTCTAGCTGTAAGGCGCCGAGCCATCCCTGAATTATTACAGCACCAAGATAATTAGATTCACTAAAGCATAGACTAGCTGTTTGATCAGTTATATAAGTCATGGCAGTGAGAGCACAGGGGCACGTTTCACAAAGATAAACTCTCACAAAACAAAGACTTTATTTTGACAGCTACATTTTTCTGTTTAAAGTTGTGGAGCCATTGAATAATTACAGCTAATTTGTTATGATATTCTGGGTAATTTAGACATTTTTAAAACTGAAAACATGACTGAACATCACATAACTCAATATCTTTCACTTCAGAATGAGAACCAGAGCTTAATTCATTACAGATTTGTGGTCAAAATTTTGTAAACCTTTGTGCTCAGGTTGCTTTGACATTGTGGTGAAACAACTGTTATACGTAGAGTCACAGTGTGTTTCATAAGCAAGCCACCTCCTCCTCCACCTCCCTCATATGTAGTTTCTGTTACAGACATCAGCAGCATCATTTTATCCTGTCAAAACTCCCATTCAGGACATCTGTAATGACATTTTGAATGCTCAAAAATCCAGTTTGAGATATCTACATTATTCAGATGAGTCATAATTCCAGTTCAAGTTATCTTCAGTGTCATTCTGACTGGTTCCGACTTAATGAAAGATATTTGAAAAGGATAATGTCGACAGACATCTTGAATTAAAAAGAATTAAAGATATTTATTATGACTAGTAACTTAAACTGTAAATATATAAAACCGTAATTACAATTAGTGATTACTGTTGTTATCACATCTGCAATGTGAACTGGGGGTATTTGCGAGGGAATTGTGGATGAGAAATAACATGTACACACGAATAGTAAAAGTGACATCATTAGTCTTGGAAAGAATGACAGTGAGGACATTTGAAATGACAATTGTGGATAGGAAGGAGGACACGATTGCCCTGCACACACCAGCCCCCAGTGTGACACTAAACGCTCACAGCTAGCACCCAGTCACATCACAATTGACTTTTACCCTGTCCCAACTGGACAATTAAACCAGTCAAGTCATGTTGGGTGGGATTAAATATTCAATACTGAAACCCGCTCAATTCTGCAGACTGCAGTCAGGTGCTCCTCAATCACACAGACTGTATTGAAAAGATGAACAGAGCCAACGCCGAAATACCTTCATCCTGCATTCTCTCTAAAGGCCAGCAGGAGGCGACTCCTCTTGTTGTAAAAAACAGTCAGATCATATAGAAATAGATGAGAAGCTACTCTACATTTCCTTTGAATTATTATGTAATAAACATTTTCTTTGTGAGTTTATGAATCCAGTTACTGGTTTCAAGACTTCCTTAACGCATGGTGTTTATTTTGTATATTACGGTCCGGGCTAGCTTGTGATTGACAAGTGACAACTGTATTGCTGTGCGTAGTGTCTTTAAGTTCTCAGTCAGATCGACTCCTTGCTTGTTGATTCTGGTATCAAAAAAAACAAGATGGCAACGGCCGAATTCCAAACTTGAGACATCAGCATGGTGGTCCACATGCCAGAGGGGGATGTTGTGGTTGCTACAGCAATTTTTAATAGACAGGCTATGGTTCAACCACATGTTTTGTTCTCCAAATTACACTGTACACCAGTTATCGGTGTAAAACTTAGCGACACACAGCGAGCATCTAATTACAATCTGTGTTTTTCCCCCCACAAATTAGACAGCCAAACCAATCAAATCACAGTTGGTATGAACAAACATTCTGAGTCCCTTAACCTCAATTGCTTTAAAGGCCCTGAAAGCATATTTTCTCAAGAATGTTGCAAAGATAACCTTGAGGGACATCAGACTGGACACATGGCAATAAGGTGATATGTGTTCTGGCCTACTGGTTCAATCACGGTGTTACGCTCCTTACCAGGATTACCATAATATACATGTCATGAGGTACCAATTACAAAGTCACATTGAGCATGTTCAAGTCTTTCACATCTTTCACTGGAAGTGTTTTGAGAGGCTCAGGCCGGTTAATGTTCTCCACTACATACTACTATTCACTCCTCATAAACGTGGGTGAGCTAAGCCTGGGTAATTGCTGGGAACCTTTTGCAGTGACCGTGGGTACACATTCCATGCATGCAGCGCCCTTCAATAGCAGGGCTATTAAACACATTTTACCAAGGTCCCAGCCTTTCTGATGTGTTTTTTTGGGGGTCTTTTGTTCCCCCTTCGGTCCAGCCCCTGTACTTGGCAGCCCATCTGAGGGCCTGGGGGCAGATCTCTTGACGCAGCGCTGACAGATTTGCCTGTTCTGGACCGCGGTGATGATGAGAGAGCAGACCAGAGGAAAGGAGGAGGTGGGGG